AAAAGAAAAGAAAAGAAGTATATACACTCTCCTTGTTTAGTTTGTTTCAGAGTCTTTGTATTTTAATTATATATATAAACTTAGCTAACCTTCTGGATAAAATTAATACTTATCCCAAGGAGTTTGGGGATTTTTCCCAATGTTTTAAGAAGATGTAAAAAGTACACTATCATCCTTTATTTCAGCTACATGAGTTACAAGACAGGAATATGGAGTGCCTGGGAATGTTACACGAATCCCAAGAAGAAATAAAAGAACTTCGTAGTAGATCTGGCCCTGCTGCTCATCTCTACTTATCCCAGTCATATGGCGCTTTTACTGGAGTAAGGAACTGAGAAAGATGCTATGTACTTAAAGACAATTTTTAAGATCAGGGTGTCCTCAAAGTGGTAAGGTTTATGATGGTGTAAAGCACCCTGAGAAGAGATAACATGGTTTGTCCTATTTCTGGAATCTAGTTATTAAGTTAGGCCTTAATTTGTATATGTATGTCTTCTTAATACTCTTATTTATTCTAACAGATAACCTTCCTGATTTATTGTAACATGAGAGCTGGATTCTAAGGAAATTAGGTTTAGGACTATGTATCATAAAACTTGGGTCATCCTACACTAAGCCCACCATTTACATATAAATTCAGTCTTAAGCTTATTATTAAATAGTGTTTTGATCTTCTAGGACTTCTCCAATAAATCTTGAGTTTCTTGGTATATTTAACTCCAGGTAGCATGTAAACCCCACAAAAACAGGAATCATGTTTGTTTAATTCATTAATAAACAGTATTTTGGGAATTAAAGAAATCAATAAAAACTTCTGAATTTATGCCAGCATTCTTAAGGTTGATTCAAAAAGTTATTTTAACAATCTGATTCTTAAATACTTGTGTGCAACGTCTGAAATTATTTAAAAACTGAAACTATAAATTTTAGATTTTACTAAGGATATGGAGGCAGAATTTTTGTTTTATACCTTTTCATCTGAAACAATTTTAAACTTAGTATAAAGTTTCAGGAATAGTATAAAGAACTCTTAGATATTCTTCACCTAGATTCTTCAATTTTTAACGTATTATTGCTTTTGCCATATCATCTCTTATTTTTTCTCCTGGCCCATTTATCAGTAAGTTGCAGATATGCCATATTATCCTTTAGTACTTACGTAGTATTTGCTAAAAACAAGGATGCTTTTAAGTTCACTGTCCTTCACAACCATACTAGAGTCATCAACATCGGGAAGTTGATGTTGATATGGTACTATCTATCATCTAATCCACGGAGCCCATGTGAATTTTGCTACTTGTCCCAATAATGTCCTTTAAAGGATATGTTGCATTTAGTTGTTTCATCTGGGACAATTCTTCTGTCTCTGTTTCTCATTCATCACCTTTGTAGAATGTCCTCAGTTTAGGTTTTTCTGTTGTATCCTGATAATTAGATTTCTTGGGGCATCATGTCAGAAGGTACACAGTGTCTATTTAGCCCATTACTAGTGATTTTAATTAACTTTGATCTCTTAGGTAAGGTAGTTATCTGCCAGTTCTTTTTACCATAAATTAAGGATAATTAATAGTTAATCAAATTAACACTACTAATTCACTGTATAGTCATGAAAATCGGCAGATACTTACTTTAACCAAGTGTCAAAGGTAATATTTTATGGGGAGATAGATACTTTGAGACTAAATATCCTATTCCTCATCAAACTTTTGCCCACTAGTTATACCATCCATTGATGGTTCTTGTCTGAACTCAGCTATTATTATGATGATTGCCAAATGGTGATTTTCTAAGTCATTTTTTCAACATTTATTAATTGGCGTTCTTCTGTAAGTTAGAACTTTTCTGTCCCATTTATTCATTTGTTCACTTAGGTATGTCAGTATAGGACTCATAGATTCCTATTTTATTCAGTATATTATTATTAGTGCTTATTTTGATACTCAAATTGTCCCAGATATAGCCAGTGGTATCTCATTTAACTTTATACTATACTTTTTGTTGCAGCCCTGGAGTCAGCCATTTTTAAAAAAATACTCTGGCTACTTTTATTGAGGAATGGTATTTAGAATCCAAGATCTGGGTGCTACTTGTGCCCCTTGATGGCCACTATAGAGCACATGTATCGTGGTTTGGCCTTCTCAGTGGTTAGAGCTAAGAAATGTACATACTTCATACATATATCCACACTATGCCTATATCTGTCTTTCCATCCACATTTGTATGCATCTGTCTATTATATTAAAACTCAAGAATTCACACCAGTGCCTCCAAATCCAGTCATCCTCAGCGCAGCCCCCCTGAACATAACACTCAAGTGAGTTGAATCCTCATTCCTGACCAGGAGAAAAGGAACCTTGCTTATATTTTTTCAATTTTTCTATATTATAAAAGCTATACATGTTAATTACAGAAAAGTTTGAAATAATAGAAAACCAAAAAGAAATAGTTAAATACCATTAAATCTCAGCCATCACAGAATCACTATTAACGTTTGGTTTATGGCCTTTCACACCTTTGGTTTTTGTGTGTCTACATGTAATATTTTCCATTTATTATATTGGTTTTTCCACTGCTTTCCTATAAAAATATGAAATGGTAGTTGGTTCTAGTTTAAAAGTTATACTTCTATAATGTCTCATTTTCCCCCAAATTTTAGCCTATAACTTTTTTTGTATTTTATTATGACATGAAGAGTATAGAATGGTAGAGACTTAATTTAAGAGCAATAGTCACTAGGAATGAATCTCAAACTCATTTTTCTTAGGAATCCTTGGCAGCTGAGATTGAGGGGACCATGCGTAAAAAGTTGAGTTTGGATGAGGAATCTTCTCTTTTTAAACAAAAGTGAGTACAGACCACATGTGTTGTTACTCAACCACTAAAATGGAAATTTAGGAGAAGCCATAATCCAAAGTGACAAGAATTAGGAGATTCAGTAACAATCTGCTTACTACTGGCAGTCTGCCAGTCACAAACATCTGACTCATGTATGACTTGCACATATGTACAGATAAATGTACCTGTTCAACTCATATAAATTCAACTTAAGAACAAACCTGCAGAACCTAGCTTATTCATAACCTGAAGACTGTCTGTATTCAGTTTTCTCCTCACAGTATTTTTATTTGTGAGAGAGTGGTCTTGTTCTAAAGTTTATTTTCTAATAATTTCTCTCCCACTTTAGAGGCTACTCAAGATGACTTTATTTCTTACAGACGGCATGTATGTGTGTCTTTCCTACAGCACTCTAGTGACTGCCGGTGATGGTAATGAACATTTTCTTTTTTGACAGAGCCCAACAGAAACGGGTATTTGATACTGTCAAAGTTGCCAATGACACGCGGGGCCGCTGTATCTCATTCCCAGCTCTGCTGCCCATCCCAGGCTCCAACCGTTCAAGTGTCATCATGACCGCAAAACCCTTTGAATCTGGTCTACAGCAAACAGAGAACGAAACACTCCTGAATCAGGGAAGCAACTCAGAGGAGGTTCCAGGGTAGGAAACGTAGATCATGTGATTATGACATACCAGATTCACATACTCAAATTCCAGCATTAGTCTGTAATGTAACCTAAGAAGGTTTTGAAACTGTTGGTTTTCATCCAATTATAATGCTCTGTGATTTGTGTAAGGTAGATCATTGTTCTCATAAAGTCTTGAGTGAAGAAGTGTTAGTATATTTTAAATGGTTCTTACATTTAACTCTAAAATTTTTTGTTACTTTTTTAGTGTTGCAGAGTTTGAATCTAAATCTTCATGCTCAAAGTTAAATTTGATTCCATTTAATCACTAGAACAAATGCATCAAGATAACACTTTCTCATAATCTGTGCCCATAGTCTCAACCACTGTGGTGCTTTTAGAATACACAGTAAGTTTGAATACCTATTAAGGACAACCAAGTTGTTTTTAATTTTCTGTTTGTTTATAACTAGAAGTTAAACAGCATTACTAAAACGTTGGCTGAAAGCCTTTGAAAGGTGGTTGCTTGACACCGGAGGGAAATCTTTCTTCATGCAGAAATTCATCAGAGTAGGTTTCAGTTTGTCTGTCATGGCCATTGTTCTACACCAACAATAGCTTTATGTATCAATACTTCTTCATGGGTACACAGTTCTCTCTAAAACAGATCTATGTGAATTTATACACAGTAGCCAGGAGCAACTACAATTAGCTTATTATACTTTGGTAGCAAGTAAGATACCTTTCAATTTCAAAAACGTTGAAGTGAAAAAAGGGTACCAGAGAGCTATAAAAATGCAGTATTGTACAAATCTTGTTTTCTTTTCAGTGTTCCGCAATATTCGTGGAGGATTCTATAGCCCAAAGAAAATTTTTTCACATTTTTGGTATTTTTACATCCTATGTTTTCCAACTAATGACATGTAATAATTTCATGGGTAGCATTTCTTCTTTCTTCATAGTATATAAAATAATGATACGTCTTGTAAACAGTGATATCATAGATTGATTGAAATATGATATTTACTTTTGTGACAACCTAACCTGAATGGTCCTATCTGTAGTTTTATCCATTAAATGAAATAGAAAAGTTACTGAACGCAATATAGCAATAACCTCTCTGAAATCATTTGAGATGATCTATAAAAATGATACAAAGTATTGTTGGTGACTTTGGTTTGTTATTATTTCTATACTCCAGATATCAAAGAAAATACTACATTTTTAAGATCAATATCGTTAACGTTCACCATTATAGAAAGGAGAGGTCGGAGTCAGGGGCCATAGCTCACACCTGTAGTCCCAGCTACTCAGGAGGTGGGAGAATCACTCAAGCTAGGAGTTCAAGACCAGCCTGAACAATATAACCAGACCCTGCCTCAAAAAGCAAAAATAAGGAAGAAAAAGAGAGGAGAGGTCTAGGTCATGTTTATGACCCGTAAGAGCTAAGTAGTGAATGTGATTTTCCCATAGGAACTCCCAGAAGATGGATCACCCAGGACTCTCTGGAGAGAGTGATTTGGCCACAGCACTGCATCGCCTTAGGCTGCGCCGACAGAACTATTTAAGTGAGAAGCAATTCTTTGCTGAAGAGTGGGAGCGGAAGATCCAGGTTCTGGCTGACCAGAAGGAAGGGGCTAGTAGCTGCCTTACCCCCACAGAGAGCCTTGCCTCTCTCTGTACCAACCAGTCAGAGATCACAGACTTCAGCAGCGCCAGTTGCCTTCGAGGTTTCATGCCAGAAAAATTACAAATTGTCAAGCCACTTGAAGGTATTAAATCAGTAAGGGCCCTTTTCAAGTCATGTGGTTTATTGGGCTTCCCTCTCCCTGGAATTGAGATTTGTGTTGTAATTAATAAGAGCACTCTATGCAGAGATAGCCCTTAATCTCAATGTTTGAGTGACAGGGCATTTTGTGGGAAATTAATGAAGAGCTCTGTGTTCTCTAAATCATCAGCTATCAACTCTTGCATATGATGTATTTTAATATAAATGTGAGGGAAGAGGAGGAATAATCTTCCTATCCTTTGGGTTTTGGGGGGGGGGGTTTTTCCTTTTTTTTTTTTTTTTAAACTCAAAGCCTTTCGACTTTTATCCTTTGTTAAGGAATATCATTGATGGCAGTTTCCATGGTAAGATAAATAAGATATGATAAACAAAAATGATCTAGAGGCAATACCTCATTTCCACCTTCCTTTTCGAAAGAGTTCTTTACTCAAAATTATAATTGATTTAGAGGTATGTTTGCCAGTATTTTTCTTTTTTTTTTTTAGTTCAGTTTCTGTTTTCCTAAGATAGAATTTGAATTCAAAAAAAATTTATTTTATGGAATATTGGCAATAATTGAATGATTCTCTTGACATCATAAAAGAGATCTGTATTAAATAAAATTTTGAGTAGGTAATCTATAAGGATCCCTCAGACTCAAAGATACTGTAACTTAGTTTTATTCATTAATATTCGGTGCAAATATCTTTCAGAGTTGCTTTTTTTTTT